GAACGTCAACACCGACCAATGGATAAGGGTAAAGGTCAAACTAGAACACGACAATTTGATTTAATTTAATCATTTCGGTTCAGCTGAATGCAATCACCGTTGTCGTGTTAATCATCTGTGTAAACGCCTTCAATAACTTTTCAGTGCATCTAAATGTTTGAAGTTAGCTTCAAAGACGCAAGAAATTAGGACTTTATTTTTTGTATGCCTCATCAGCAGGTCTCCTTTTCCGCTAGATACCGCCTACAATCTACTCACAACATAATTGTTTCCCCTTTAAGGTTAACGTGTACCGCATCTGGCGTGTGTACAATGCGAGACTTCGTCGTTGGCGACCCCAGACCGGCTTCGTGGTACAGGTCGGCAACCGCAGCCATGAGCATCTTGATTACCTGGAGAGAGCAGACATCTCCCTGCGTCCAGTTATATATTTTGGGGGATACAGAGAACACCTGGTAGGTAGTGCACTTACACAGCAACATCAGTTTCAATGGGTCTGTTCATATTTTCTCGACCAAATGTTCATAATTTTGTTGAAGTAACAAAAAGGGCAAACGAGTCTCTTTTTCTTTAACCAATCATGGTCAGCCTCGTGGGATCGAGTTCGCCCGAGGTCATCATGGGGGAATGGACTTGCTAGCCAATGAAATCAAGCTTACTCTAGGATGAGGAGGTACACAATTGGTTTCAAACTTTAAAACTCACCCCCCTAAGTCGGAAGACAACACCCAACTTGGTGTGGGGGGTTTTTTGTTGTTGGGGGGGGGGGGGAATTTCTGTGCAAGATTGGTCGTACTCCGACTAGTATTCCCATACGAAAGGGTGAATACAGCAGCCGCCCCTGGCACCAGTATCAGAGGGTGCCAGATCATCTTCAAATAGGACCTTAATAGGGAATTAAGATAAAACCACATGTACTTCACAAAGACGAGAAGCGCCAAAATCGCCGTTTTACTGGTTCCGACCGGAACGGCACTTTTATCTATATATCGAACGGCGCCACTTTCGAGCCTCGCCTCGTCCCGGGCGCCGCTTTTCCTCGGCACGGCTGCGTTTACCAGTTAAGAAAATTTGAAGGTTACTTATTTTTGGTTTTTTTTTTTTTTTTTAAATATTTATTTACAGGAACTGTTCTATAATGTTTAGTCTTCTGATATCTAAGCATGTATTATAAATAAAAGTTTAAATGATAATTGATTTATTTGTAAATGTCTTTATCCAGAGTGAGACGGTGCGAAACTTTGTTGGTGAGATTAAAGACATCAGAGAGCAGAAGAACGGTCAAACGTTCGAGACCCCGTCACTGAACTACAAGTCAGAGGTCGTTGCCTGTAGTATAGACATAGACCCTGTCTAACGTCTTTGGAGCTGAAAATGTCGACTGTCCAAAAGCTTGCGTGCTGGAGTGCTGTGGCTGGCATGTACTGAAGCACTGGGCAATATATATATCAGTAAATAAATGAGTGATATGCAATGAGGGACCTTATCACATAATTATGTATTTTTTGTTGAGACACAGTGAGAATAAATTTGTGAAATATTTTTTTTTATATATATATATATATATATATATATATATATATATATATATATATATATATATATAGGCCTATACGCTTTTTATAAATCATATCCGTTTCTAAATATTAACAGTTTTACGAGAATCGATGTCACGTGTAAGGGGAGGGTTAACAGGCTCAAAATTATGCTAAAGTATTTTAATTTCTTTTTAACAAAAAATTTTTGCTTTAGGCCTAATAATTTTTTATTTTTTTTTTTTGGTGTGTGCATTGGCCCAATAAACGAGAAATTTGATCAAAAAAAATAATCTATAGTTTTTTGCTAAACACAGAGCAAATATTGTCTATGGAATAAATTAAAATTACTTTAAACTCCATACATTCAGTGTATTGATTTCTGAAGTTGTGGTTAGACTGGACATGCCTGGATTTGCCCGGAGTGAGCTTTAAAAATGCAGTTTGACAATGATGCAAATTAAAGAAGCAGAAACTCTGGGTCGAATGACTGTATAATTCTAGTAATCTACCCTCAGCGGCAATTAAATTTCGCAATCTTTCATCTCACTTGGAAAAATTTAAGCTCTGTAGACATCTCGTACTGTTCTTTCTTGTTTATGCTGCCATCTGTACACACGTGACACGTCACGTTTTATTATTCTTTTTATTACTGCCACGATTACCTCATTAATTTAAGGGATTTTTTTCATTTAAAACTAATATTGTTAAATAAAGACTGCTTCAAAACACTAATGTTCTCACTGTTTTAATCGAGTCTTGAGGATGTATCTATGCAGGGCCATGCAAAGTGGCACACCACCCCACACCCCTCAGATTTTCTTTCAGATAATCTCCTGGGTGGGGGGGGGGGGATTTTCATACCTTTGAAGGGGGGGGGGAGCAGGGCCAATGACCAGATTTCTTGAAATAATTACCTTTTCTAAATATTAAGTTTTTTAAAAATTCTCACGGTTTTAATCGAGTCTTGAGGATGTACCTATGCAGGGCCATGCAAAGCGGCCCACCACCCCACACCCCTCAGATTTTCTTTCAGATAATCTCCTGGGTGGGGGGGGGGGATTTTCATACCTTTGAAGGGAGGGGGGAGCAGTGCCAATGACCAGATTTCTTGAAATAATTACCTTTTCTAAATATTAAGTTTTGTCAAAGAAAAAAACAACTGTATTGAAGAAATCTCTAAATATTTGTTTGGGTTTTCAGTACTGGTGTTGTTTTTTTTATAAATGAACGGCATAGTTATGTAAAGAAGACATGAGTCATGAGATGTTCACAAATGACATCATATATTTATTAATGAGTGATTTTGTCCGAAAGAAATTGTACAAACATAAAGTAAAGCGTTCCCAAAATCTGTTGATCCTTATGATGATTTGGAATTTCAAACTACTGTAACCTTTTGCAGATAAATTACAAATTGCCTCTTCGGTATACTTCAACACATTTTAAAATTAAATCAATATAATTTTGTTTTTTAATTGAAGATTTGAGGTAAAAATTATTTCCAAAATTAGTATGCCTACCAATTTGGCATGATAATCGAAATGCTATTTCCACACAAACTTTGTTCCCCCCCCCCCTTTTTTCCGATTTCTACTGGATTCTAATCTATTTTTAAAAAGAAAAACAAATTAAAATTAAAATTGCGTGCAATAGGTGCGGCAGATTCTTTCTTATTCTTATATTAAGAAATCAGTTGGGAACTAAATAAATATAGGCTAAGTGTATTTTTACTTCTTCTTCTTCTATAATATATTAAGGGTCCACGCGTAGACTGGGATATTCACATAACCATTGTTACAGACCAGTGCCGCTTAAAGCATGGGCGCACTGGGCACTTTCCCTGGGCCTCGCGCCTCTATGGGGCCGCATGCCTCTCGGGAACCTAACGCCTCTGGGGGCCTCATACCTCTAGGGAACCTTATGTCTCTAGGGGGCCTCATGCTTCCTGATTTTGGCATCAGGCCAGATTGACCCTCTCGCCCCCTCCTTCGCCAGACCTGAGTATAGTATATAGAGTAAAAGTGGGCCTCTGTGCATTATTTTTCCCAGAGCCCCGCTGCTGTAAAGACGGCGATGTTACAGACTAATATTTGTATAAATCCAGTTATATTCTACTAACATAGCAGAGACACATTTATACATCTTAATTTCAACAAATTCAAAAATCACTTTGAATAAAAAGGCAAATTTATTTAGTTACAGAGAGTTATGCCTAAGTTTCATTAAACAAAAATTACATTATTAGATCATAAATTGAATCAGAATAATCAATTTATTAAGTTAATAGTTTTAAAATACATAATCAATGAATTGAGAATGGGAACGTCAATGCGTTCCAATACTTTTATTATCACAGATTATTAATCAGCAAAGTATAATTTGATGGTGCACATGTCCGTTATCAGATGCCGAAGGAAAAAATCCTCAGGAAACACAAGCAAAGTTACAACATTTGGTTACTTGCAGTAAATTTAAATCCACCTTTTTTTTATATTAATATACATCAGCACTTAATACTCACATTTAATTTTATTATAGAAAAAAAAGACCAAAAAGTTGTCAAGATTAATCTGTTTATAAGGGTAGGCTAATTAACTTAGCAGCATCGACTTAGACAGGTTTTATGGAAATATCTGATATGCTACTGCAAAGTTTAAAAAAAAACAAACATATGATAGTTATTTACATACGATATTCAAATTAGTATAAGGGTAAAGAATATCACAATGAGCTTATACTGGATCAAACATTAAAGGAATAATTGTAAAATTTGTAAAAGTGAAAATAGAATGGACAATAAACTTTAAATAGTATATAAAAAATAATTTAGGAATACAAAGAAGGAGTTTTTTTTTGTTTAAATTTAGTTGCAAGTAATGTAGGAATAATTCAAAAAAATTTGTGTTAAAGGTGTCTTAATTAGAATTACATTTCTCGAAGACAAAAAAAAATTCATATGAATAAACGAAAGCTACTGAGAAAAATTCACATTCCAAAGGCTGGTTTATTTCATTGAGAATGTTTAGACGCAGATAAGAGCCCAACATCTTCATTTTTTGATTCAAATATTTTATTTCACATTTGTTTTGCAGCTTATAATTGTGATTGTTGTTTTACAAAAAAAGCTTAACTTGACTTTAGGCAAATGATGGCTTGACTTGACTTTGGGAAAATGATGGCTTGACTTGACTTTGGGCAAATGATAAATAATTTACCTAAACATTTATAAATCTTAACCATGATTCTATCACCACATAAAATAGATATCATTTGAAAAACCTTGGTTCAAGATAAAAGGTTTTAACAAAAATTTGTTGTTATATTGTATTATATGTTACATATATATAAATATGTAGAGGGCCTCTATTAGTTGTAATGATATAAAATATTCAATGTGTATTTCATTTTATTATAATTTTTTATGATAATAATTACTAGTACAAATGGGATAAAGTAAAATAACACACATAAAACACGTTATAAAATATGTTTTTGAAAAATTGTTTAAAGATTAATTAAATCATAACTTTTATTTTTTTTAAACTGTATTCTGGTATATTCAATGAAAAAACTACAAATAGTTTGAAATGATAAATGCATTTAATTAAAATGTTTAAACAATCAAATAGAAATACTGATGAGTATAATAACCAAAGTCAAAACAGCCGGCTATAATTTACAGTTTCCACAAATGAAAAAAAATTGCCTAACAAATCCATCCATCAGCAGTGCATGCACATAAGTTTTAATTAATGTAGTTAAGGCATTCATCTTCTTTTTTAACAGGCTTTCAACACAATGAAACACTCCAAACTCGCATTTAATCATTATTAAATGGCTTGAAATTTTAAAAAAAATTCATTTACAACAACAGTAATGTTTGTCTCATTTGCATGCCAAACAGGCATGTCGAAGAACTTCAAGAAAAGTAGTTTAAAAAATGTAATGCAGTCAAGAGACAATATACTGTATATAATATTTAAGTGAATGATGAGCAATCAGATTTCAGTGTCAAAACTGTTCTTTTTTGAGCCCACCATAATGCTGGCTCCGCAATAGCAAGCGGTATGGCCCAAATTTTATTGCTATTACAGTGTAGTTCAGAATGTCTGGCACTGTACAAAGGACACATGTAGTGATGCTTGCAGTCTCCTTCTTTTTCCTTCATGTTGCCTGATATGTTGGGCTTCAACCACAAAACTGGCAGGTCATTAGTCACACCTGTACATGACCTTGCATCTATCAGCATCGACTGTGTGTTGTCCCATGATGCATTTTTGAGTTCAAGGCCTTCAATGAAGACACCATCATCTGGTTTCTGACTTGGTACAAACTCCCTTGGCATCACCTGAAATTCATAGAGTTATAGATTTGATTTCATTAGCATTGTATTATATATAAAGAAACATTTTGAGAAATCTTTCTGCTCATTTTATTAAAATTTAATTTAATTCTGAAAAAAATAACAAAAATATGCATTTAAATTTGACCTTTAATTTAAAGAAATGGTTATTTAAAGTAAAAAAATATTTCTGATTAAGAAAAAACAACAAAGGTCAAGGTCACAAAAAATACCTGATATTCCAAAATGACCTCGTTGATGTCTTTGAAATTTTTCTGAGCATACGTTTGCATGACCACTTTGAACAGCCTGTCTGGTCTGAGGAACATATGGAGGGACAAGACTGGGGGACACTGGGATAGACAATGATTAACATAGATCATCCTGGTGGACAGTTCTTTCAGCCAAAGGTCCACACTTGGGCTTGTTGGGAATGTTTTGATTAACCAAGAAGTAGGAACTTGATCATGACATATTGCTTCCAAAATGCCCGACATGTTTGTTGTGAGAGAGATTTCCCCACTGACTGCTCTTTTAATGAGACTCAAATCATTCTGGTGAAAAGAAATGAAATCCGAATTTAAAAAATTAGCATGTAAATTTGTCTTTTTTAATTTATTATTAAATTATTGGGCTAATTTGAAAATCAAAAAAGTAGGATTGAGGCATATGTAAGAATGAATCAGACTATTTTATAACAATGTGTGTATAAATATTTTTACTATAAAAAAGAGATGTTAGAAATCATAAAAAAACAGAAGCTATCCACATAAAATCTTTGAATGACCACACCAAGCCTCTTCCCCCACAGCTATTTTTTCCAATAGTTAATTTTAAAGGTATTAAGAAAACCATTCAAAAACTCTTTACTCTATATTCTATATTCTCTAATCTAGCATACATTTGAAATCAATCATTTAGTATCTGAAAATGGTATACCGCAACAATTTGAACCAGCTCCTTATATCCCATAACTTCTTGACAGAAGAATGCATCCAGGGGCATAATTTGATCAATAGAAGTGTCTGGCAGTATTGGGCATGCTGCCAAATGGCCCAGTAGAGTTGAAATGATACAAGAGGGTTCAGGCTTAAGGGTGGAAGTGCTGGAAATGGCATCTAACAAAAGCTCAGGGGCCCCTGTTGCTTGAACGAGTTCTTTCAAGAAAATTCTAAGAGGAAAAAAGAAACAATTTAATTATTCAAATGTTGTCAAAATACAACCAATAAACAAAGTTATTCAAAAATAATGTTAAAGTCATTCGTTCTTGGAAAAAGACTAAAATTTAGGGTTGGGCCCTTGTTTTCCAATCATCTTTGGTAAATATTGTTAGCAAAAAAAGATTATTTGTTAAAAGATGAATTATTTACAATTATTACAAATTTCACTTTTAATATCACCACAAACCACTTAAATTAGCAGATGTCCCCCTAGATACCTCCCACAAACCACTTAAATTAACAGATGTCCTCCGAGATACCTCCCACAAACCACTTAAATTAACAGATGTCCCCCTAGACACCTACCCCACCACTAAACACTTAAATTAATAGATTTCCCCCTTGACATCCTCTCAGACATCCACCCACAAAGTGATAATTAAACTGCAAAGAACCTGCTGCTGGTTTCCATATGCAGCTCCTCCACATCTGCAGGCAAACAGTAAGTACGAGCCGAAGTATCTTCAATGGAATCAATTGTTCTCTGTAAATCATTGGTCTCCTTGACAACTGTACTGAGCTTGAATAATAACTGAGCAGCTCCTTTACATTCACTTGATAAGAACTGGTAAATTGTGCAAAAAAATTAAATTATAATTAAACTGAGAAAATTTCTAAAATTTGAAACTAACAATTATTGTTTGGCTTGAAATTAAATTTATTCTTCTGTCTCTTTTGGCATCAATCATTTGGTTGCCAAAACCTGCATTGTAGAAAAAAGAACTAAAAATTAAGTTCACCAATGGATGAAATGTTATCAGTTTTCATGAATAGACAATATTTTATTTATTAGTCTAAATTGAAATCAATAAACTTTCCAGTCTTACTTTACTGGCTTGTGTTGCATGAAGTGCTAAATCTTTCACAACAGCTTCCACTGAATGTGCATCAGTCAGATCCTTTAGATAAAATGTGTATATATATATATATATATATATATATATATATTGAATAATTGTTGCTTCATTTGTAGTTTGTTAGTAGTTTGATAACATAAAAGGAGATAGAGGCATGGAATATATCAAGTTCATGCAGCAAGAGATCATGAGTGAAGTGGCTGATTTACAAAATGACTTTTTGTTGACCTTGTGGTTCTAAAGAATTCCACCATTCATTTATAATCTTTCACAGAAATGTTTAGTTTTGAGACGACAATTTTATTTAATGAGCACTGATGGTTTTTGTAATTATAAATATTAAGATATATTTATATAAGTAATAATTAGTTAAATATTGGTAATATTTCCAAACAAAATTAATTTTAAAATAAACTGCAGTAAAAATACTCCCAGCCATTGTCCCCTTCAATGATGTGTCTGCGTTACTGTTAGTCTTACCAAACAATGTCCAGTGTAGAAGTCTGCTATGAGACTAGAAATGGCGTCTGCATCAGTTGACCACCTGGTCAGACCCTGAAGTATCTCCACTGCTGCAGCCATGTCTGCTGCAGTCCAGAAATATTGGTTGACAAAAGCGTGTCTGCCGAAGTAGCTTTGCTGTAGAATTATTGCATGCAGAAGGGCAAGGGGCATCACCCTATTGAATCTCTGGACAAGCTGGATAGAAAAAGATACAACTCTAAAGATAATTCATGAACAAGTTCAATTTTAAATGTTAGAGTTGCAATATCTGCCATGATTTTAGCAGATTAAATGTCAAAATTAAATTTATTCTTATTAAAGAAATTTTTTTAAATTAAAGAATACTTGTTTTTCAAAGTCTAAAATAAATGATATGATACCTTTTAAGTACTATAACAACTTTTAATGCAAAAGTAATATTTATAGTCAGAGTTACAGATATCTATTCCTGGCTAACCTGTTCACCATTTACAGCCCTTGTGTTCAACAAAAATGCTGCAGACTTGTAAGCTTTCCACAGCAAACTCCTAAAGTTGGCAGTGACTTCACAAGTCACTCTCAGGCCGTGTTGCATGAGCAGACCTTAGGGATCAGAACACAAATTAATTTTAACACCGGTATATTCTTTAAACTTCAGGTAAGCCATTCAGCTATCTACATCAGAGCTATAAAACCTGTGTGCCGCAGCACACGGGTGTGCCGCGAGATGATGCCGTGAAAAATCAACGAAAGCACAGAGTATATCATACCCTAAATATGATAAAACAGGGACATTTGTTTAGCCTATTACCAAGCTGTCAAACTCTGCACTAACAGAAACAATAGGACAATACAATGTAAACTTATACCTTATACATGCCATAGTGAATTTTAACTACATTATGTATTTTTATTATATTTTGGCATGTTTTTATTTGTGGTGTGCCATGGAGTTCTTGGAAAGTATACAGCACTTGAAAAAAAATGTTTCTGAGCTCTTATCTACATCATGGCATGACATAGAATGCTATCCTCGATATCTAACCGGTAGGCTATCTTCATTTCACATTTATTCCACAATAAATTGTTGATAGCAAAAACTCATGCTTTGTTTGGCTAAACTCTTACAAATATATTCATTAGATACAAAATGCACATTATTCTTAGGAAATGTGGCTTTGGACAAGAGAGTATTGGCCATGCACCCATGAGACAACTCTTTGCAATTCACATCAACATTTATCAACTATGTAGGCATCAATGTGAACAACACAGCACCGATGGATTAAAAAAAATTTTTGCTTTTAATTTATTATTATAATTTTTTGTATGCTTCTTTTTCTTTGTATTTTATTTTGTTTTTTAAAAAATGTATATCATAGTGATCAACAGTAAATACTTTCTATAAACCATGTACTTTTAGTGATGTTAAGTAAAGTTTTACAATAAACTGTGTCTTACCCTTTTAGTCTAAGACTGTTCTAGCTCTAGGCACTCCACAGTTATTCCTTCAGCTCTTACTCACCAATCTAGAATTTGCTGAAAATGTATTTTATTCCTACCTGGCATTATCCTCTTGCCATCAGCCTTGGTAGTTATCCACAATCTAAATGTATCGTGGGTCTTTGCAGCTGTTGGTTTTGATCTGTAATGCAGTGATCTGTCCACAAGACATCGTCCATCCTTATGCTGGTCATCTACATTGTCATTCATCATCCATCGAGAGTAAATAATGTCCTATAAAATAGATTAAAAATAGTAAGACTCACAAGAATTGAAATTGAATAAGTGATATCATAATAAACTCTTTTTAAATATGATAATTCAAGAGAAAAAACAGGTGATATATATACACATAATAAGAAAATAATTTCCCCTGTCACTCCAAACTCATCTTCAAAAATGAATTACTGACTTAAGTGAGTAGCAGAAAGTTGGCAAGAATTTATCAGCTAAAAATTACTTCATTAATTTGGTTACAAATATGCATTCAAAATTATTTTAGGTAAGAATATCTCATTAACTTTTACTTTGCATTGACTCAAGACAGCACATCTTAAGAAACTTCAAAAAAAAGAAAGAACCAAAAAAATAATTATGTCCTTATTAACCTTGAGCAGACTAAAGAATTCAGTGTCAATGTCCTTGGCCAGGTGATAGTTCTGCAGTATCAGCCAATGCCCAGTCTGAAGGCAATCCTCAATAGCCTGGTAGACATCCAGCATTTGAGAACTAACACCAAAGTTCAAGATTCGAACTTTACCTTCCATACCCATTTCTCTGGCCAAACGTTTTATTTCTTGGGCAGGGTTGACAAATGGAATTCCTGAAAAATTTTTAATGAATTTATTTGACTTAAGTCATAAACAAAATGATTTCTTCCATAGTATGTAGTTCTTTTAAACAAAATTGAAATGGATACCAAGAAGCTAGTTAAGAAACTTTCTCAGCAACTGATAAACATATTCATATAGTTAATATTTTCAAATTTGTTTAACCTTGTGTTCCATCAGTGGCCAGAGTTTGCTGAGAGGAAGGCAAAATGAACATGGTTGGCATGTGTTTATCTGTGTATGTATAGACTTCTCTGATGTCATAGTTATCTGGTGCATCGACAGCACTTCCCAGTTCATATAGAATGATGGCATGGGACAGCTCTGCAAACTGCAAAGTGAACAGATGTAAGTTTCAGGTCAGCTTTTTTAAATGTATAATTTAAACACACAAAGAAGTTTCTTTAATTATTATTTTCAACATAAAATGAAAAACAATAGTGCCATATCACTCATTGTGGATCTAGAATGCTACTGAATATATTTTTCACAATTATTTTTTTTTGCAACATATTCTAAAAGCAATAACAGGATAAATGTTACAAATAATGAGCCAAAAAATTATTACCTTGTTGAGCTTCTTTTAAAGACAACAAATCATGTGCATGTCAATTTTTAATTTAATATTGTGTTTGTTAGTTTGTTCTATGCCTCCTTCATTAAAGAATTTCATTCTGTTTTTGTATAAGGCCTGAAACATACCCTGCTTTTATATGTCTACTTATCCAAAGGATCGTAAGTCCACTTTTTAGTTCAATCTCATAAATGACAGGAAAGAATTAGGTCACATCTGTTAGTGATTTAGCCGCATGGCAAGGTAATTTCAAAATAATTTAGGAAAGTCGAAAGTAATTCCTTTTTATTGTACCCCCACTAAGTTACATTTGTGCCCCTCAGGCAAATGTCCAAGTTATTCCACCAAGTTAATGTTTATCCAAATATACCTTTTGTGGGCAAACAAGTTTCCAAAGCAGACATTTCTGAAAGAAAGACAACTCTTGAAGAGTGTCGCCAGGAACTGGATTTAATAGACTGATAGGATGCTGAAATAAATAAAAAAAATACTATGGGATTCAAAGTAAAAACTAAAATTTTAACTCCACAAATAGATATGACATTTTAAAAAAAAAATTGATATTGCTGAAGTGTATTTGTTACAATACGTTTGTTTTTATATTGCTAATCATTCCTCTAGATCAGGGGTCTCCAAACTACAACCCGTGGGCCACATTGTGGCCCGCAACACCCTCTTATCCGGCCCGTGGAGACCTTTTTGTCTACGGAAAAAAAGGAAATTTACGTGTATCCTGCCAAGATCAGCCGCCGCTTGCGTGGACGTTATGTTTTTACCGAATTAAAATAGAGGCGTGCAGCAGTGTGTTATATTTTTCAACCAATCACTAGATTGCAAAACCTGAGTTACAAGCAAATGACCTCCTTTGGGACAAGTTCAAAGAAGGGCTGGTGGGTTTTTACCAGTTTTTGCCCAAGGAAGACTTTCCTAATGACAAAACTTTTGCATGAAGATACCTTTCAATCTTTGGAACAACATACCTGTGTGAACAAAGATTTTCAAGAATGAACTACGTGACGAACAATTTGAGAACAAACTTGCCCGATGATAATCTCAGGTCACTGTTGATGTTAGGGACATTAAAACTAAAGCCAGAAATGTCCGCTATTTTGACATCCAGGAAACAATTTCACCATTCCCAATAATACAGGTGTTCATGGGTAGTGTATCAATGTGTTATTAAAGAATAACTGAATAAAATAATATTATATAAATAATTAAAAACAACATCCATGTTTTGATTCTTTTATATTTGGACCTCGAATGTGTAGTCATCCCCCGAACTGCTGTTTGATAGTTAATGCGGCCCTCGAGCTGAAAAGTTTGGAGACCCCTGCTCTAAATGAAGGCCCAAGTATGGCAGAGCAAATTTATTTTTTCTAAATTAGCTTTATATTTTATATGCAGGCATCATAAGTTTTACACTATCACAAGAGCAGTCAAACGAGGATATAGTTTTATTTACTTGGAAATATTCTCTCCATTGTTGTGAGTAGTTGACCAAGGACTGACAGAGACCATGGAAGGGGTGATGTAACGATTCTAGAATGCTGCAGTCAATCCAGGCCTGAAGAGAAGAAATTTTTGTAAACAATCAAATCTTTTCCTGAAATGCTATTTTTTTGCCCTGACCAATAAAATTTTGAAGATAATATGGTACTCGGTAAATCAAAGTCCCTGATTAATTATTTATCATGTAATTTTAGAAAAAAATGGAGAAATTATACTTTTGATGCTCTCAGGGAAAATGATTAAATAAATCTACCCCAAAAAAATAAGCAGCATGATACATTTCTGTGATTAGCAAAGTCAGCTGCAAGAGCTTCAGTAACACTGGTATTGTTTTAGAAATACATTTATTTAACAAAATGATAATTGGTTACCACAATCATGTTCTACCCAAATTTTTTTTAGAAAATCTGACAAACTTCAATATTTCAGATCTACTCACACTGACAATCATCCAGCCCGGTTTCTGCTCTGCTAGACTCGCATCATCCAATCCAAGCTTCTGAAAACCATTGACAAATAGGCTGAGTTCTTTGTTGCTGACTTTGCGTTGCCTTAGCATACGTTCCAAAGACACAATCAGAGCTAGCAGGTTGTAGTGCTTTTCAAACATCATCAGCCTAGCATACCTGAAGATGCCATGGAGAACAGCATCAGACAGCTCTTGGGCTCTCACTTGTAGGGCACCTGTAAATAAAATCCAATACAACAGCATATTATGTGTCTTGTTTGGACACAGCAGTTGGAATCTGACATTTTTTTTCCTAAAAAATAATTATCAAAGTGAAGCCCTGCAGAAGATTCAACAATTTTTTGTTTTTTAAATCTTTATATTTGGGCAGCTACAATTAGGATTAATTCCAGCTGGTCTATCAAACTGAAAAGTTTAAGAAGTGGTGATTTAGAGCCTAAAGGCACTTAGTAAATCTAACCCAAATAATGACTATCTTACCCAAGCTTCCCTTGCCTCTGTCTCTACTCTTGATGATGGCTGAAAACATGGCCACAAACTTGTAAAATGGCAGATAGTAGCATGGATAGAGAACAGACATCTTGCCAAGGACATTGTATAACATGGCCGAGTGCTTTATGAAAGGGGTGTAGTGGGCAAATTTTCCTTCAAGGTGATCTCCCATGTAGCGTGTTTCTTGCAACATTTGTCGGTTGTGTTCGACATTTGTCTGACATACAAGGAGGGAGTCCAGCATAGTCTTGTCTTCTAGCAGAGGACCCGTTAAGTTCAAGGTCTTTTCTCTGATAATTTCCTGGCAAGTTAATAAAATACAAAGATATAATCTGATATTTTGTAATCAAGAAATTCGTAATGGTTTACTTATTTATCATGGTTTTCTTATTTATAATTGTTAACTTATTTATACTCATGCAAAGATACTGATCTTCAATCGAGCGCCTCCCCAGGTGGCAGATAGGGGAAAGCCCACCAGATATGGCAGGTACCAAGGAAATTTAATACCCAGGGTGGACCAAAATCAGAACCTACTGCAATGTAGGAAGTGGAGGGATCCACATAGGCTAGGGTCCTGCCCCAATACAAAGGCAGCTAACCTGAAAGCTGCAAGGGGTATCCCCCCAGATGGTTGTGTGCAGGGCTGACAACCCTGTCACATAAAAAATCCAATGTTATGAAAGCAAAATCACAAACAAAAAACTGACTGATAATTTTGGATTTTGACCTATGCCTGAACAAAAATATGATAAACAAATAGCGACCTGGAATGTTCCAAGTCTAAACAGAGTGGGAGTGGCTCACCTCAGTGACGAATTGAGCAAAAGTGATCTACAGGCAGAAACCTAAGGGCAGACCGCTCATTGGTCAACCAAGATTGAGATGGATTGACAATGTAGAGAAGGACTTACACCAGCTGGGGGTTAGGGCATGGAGGGCGGAAAGCCATGGATCAATCCAAATGGAAGCATGTGGTGGAGCAGGCCAGGGCCCTACATGGGCTGTAGGGCCACTAATGATGATTACTTTTTTTATAATGGTTTTAAATACACAAAAAGGAACAGATATTAACCAAAAAAGTTTCTGATATAGAAATGTTTTAAAAAAATATGGCCAGGCCTTGCTCTGTTATTTCTGCCATGCAACAAAATAAATGTTTAACAAAGTTTTATAATGTATCCAACGAAGCTTAAAAAGAGGTGACTTTCCTAAACCAAACCGAAAGGCCAATATTCTAAAATCAAACCCATGTCCCTGCTCTCACACTGTTATTGAAGGGAATCTGAAGTTTTGACAAATAAAACAGCTATTAATTAATTTCGACAGGTCCAAGCTGTACACTTACATGTTCCCTTGCCAGGCGTTGTCTGTGGAGGATGATGTCATTTTCATTTGATCTTCTTTGACCTTCAAACTCTTTTTTCTCCACTTGCATAGTTTCAAACATCAGATGATTGATGATAGCTTCATCACTGACGGCCATGTTGATGACACTGACTCTGTTCAGGGGGAAACTGTACAGACCGTCGCCTGATGTAAAACATAAATGATTTAGCAAAAAAAATAATATATCCTGAGCAAGTTCATTTACATTAATATTTGTGAAGATATTGTGTAAAGATATATAGATATTGTGTGGAGATAAATAGATATTGTGTCAAGATATAAAGATATTGTGTGAAGATAAATAGATATTTGTGTGAAGATACCTAGATATTGTGTTAAGATATGTAGATAATATGTGAGAAGATACATATATATATATTTATATTGTGTGAAGATACATAGATCTTGTGTGAAGATACATAGATATTACTGTTTGAACATTTTTGATATAAGTCAGCATTTTTTTATATTTTTTTATTACTTTTAGGCAACACATAGCAAAACTAAAGGCTTTGATGTCATGACTGAAACCTTACAAGACCATGTCTGGGGCTGAGATGTACATTTCTCAACCACATACCTTTGACAAAAAGTGGTACACTCGTACTGAGGTACAGACAGAAGTTGGGATGGTAGTTGAAGGCCATGTCCCCAACCCTGACAATCTTGTTACCCTCCTTGTCGACATAGAATTGTTTCAGAAGCAGACCTCTGAATAGAGAATCCAGTGGTTTGCGCTCCACATGGGTTATCAGGACAGTCACACCTGAGTAATGCAAGAAATCAGAGACTTTGAAGGACAGTAACACCTGAGTAATGCAAGAAATCAGAGACTTTGAAGGACAGTAACACCTGAGTAATGCAAGAAATCAGAGACTTTGACATTTTACACTGAAATTAAATTATAGGATGAAAAACTATTATTTTATTAATTGAAATTCAATTTTAATCTAATTAAAAAAAAATTAAAGACTATATCAGCTTTTCCCATGGAGTGTAAAGGGATCCATAGCCAACCTAGTGGCAACACAACAACATATTTCATTACCAGAGAGCAAAACCTGCTGCCCACATGTAAATAGTTTAAAACTATTAAATTTCTAATTAGGTTTAAAATATTTATACTTGCAAAAAAAAGGACGGTGAGACTTTGTCAGTGGAAAACTTAAAAGATGACAAGGGTCTGTAAATAATTCACTGACCATGTACAATGGCATTGATTAGCCTAGAGTTGATGTTGGCATCATCAGCTACCAGCACCAACAAGTTAGAATCTGGTAGATCCACTTCTGAATCTGCATGCAGGCTGTAGCTGTCCCAGCTGTTGGTCACCGAGGTCACTGGTCGAAGCTCCTCACTGTCTGATGTACGCTGAGATACACCACCACGGCTGCGAGAAAACATGTGAGAGTTAAGGAAAGGGAGCGCAACAGAAATATTGTGAATACCATTTCACATTTCTTAAAACACAAATTGGAATGGAGTGCTTTTTACATAATTAGACAAACTTATATGCTCAAACAAACAAATACATATATAAATTAATGTATTCTTATAATGACCAACTTAGACTTGGAAAAATATAAATTCAATTTGAGTTGAGGGTTCCATAAAAATTGTAGAATATAAACTATAAAGGGACTGTACCTAGTTGTTTCCCTCAGTGAGGTCCCCTGAGAGCAGGCCAATCCTGACTCGGTGACATCAGAAAAAGTCAACATGGTCCCTCGACTAGGGGGTGGGTCTAGGAGATCTCCCTCCTTGTCGTTGCTGAAGTTTGCCTCCTCAATAGGGATATCTTGAAATGTTCATGCAATGATTAGCCGTTACTACTTTTACAAAGTCAAAGCCTTGGTTTTAACTTGAAAAACAAATTAATAAATAAATATGCATGTTTCATTGAAACTCCAGATTTTATGGAGCTATTGAAGTGGAATTAATTTTAAATGGATTAGCAAATATAGAATAGACCAGCGTCTACACTACTTACCCTCTTCAGTGACAAAATCGGCTACATCTTTTTGAGTGAATATATTATGGCTCTTATGGAGAGCTTTGACCCACATTTCTGCCTGATTGTCTGGGTCAATAAGGAGTGGCCAACAATGTTTCCGATTGTGGCAGCAAACACGCATCATCAGAGCATTTTGTACCTGTGCGGAGGCAATCAATAGTTAGTGGCTTGAAAACGTGAGAAAATACTTCATTTTGACACATATATGTCAACAGTCAAAGAGTCATGGTCATCTAAAAGATATATTTTAAATCTTAAAAAGATATTATCTTTAAAAAAATTTGGAAAATAGTTTACCCAAATGGAATCATGACCATTGAAATCCTTTTTTATTCCTTCATAATTATAGTTTGGACATAAAAGATCAACTTAACTCCATACAATCTACTTACTGAGTGCAAATCTGTGGGTAAATTTTGCATCCGCCAGTCACTGAGCTCATCAAAATCTGATAAAATGTCTTGCAGTGTCAGATTCGGTCGAGTGGGTAAGATTGTGTTTTCATCCTCATCATCGTCATCATCCATCATGTCCCGCTCTGGCACTACGCTCTCCATTGTGTCTTGTTTCTTAAGTTCTGACTTGTAGTACTTACTGCTGTCATACACGGCCGACATGTACTTGAATGTCTTCACCTTTGGATTGATACAGAAAATAAACAACTGAGAATGAGTTAAATAAATCCTGGGTATCTTGTCCTTGGTTTCCCAAGAGTTTGGAAGAAATCACAACAAAAAATTAACTTAAAATTAAACATTAGCGTCTTTATTAAATACAGAGCTATTATAATACATTGAAATCCTGGAGTTTACATGTTCACATTTGTAAGTTAAGAATAATAACTAATTAAATGCTTTAATAATAGAGTGGGTTTTTAATGCTTCAACCTACTCACATTCACAGTTGTGATGTATCATTTCTATAATCTAACAATAAACAATAAGTCTTAGTCAGAGTTCCCCAAACTTTTCTATATTCTGTTCCCTCTAACTAAATTAATGTTTGACTTAGTCTTGAATCCCCTAAAAATCATTTGACTAAGTCTCTGGCCCTCTAAAAAAAGAAACATTGCAGAATACATTGGAAAAAAAAAAGGACTTAATTTTTTAAAACTTAAATTACAAAGAGATCTGCAGAACTTAGAAGATAAATTTGACATGTAATAAAGAAAGTAAAATATTAAGAAATTTTTTAAAAAATATATTAATAATTATATTTTATAACTGAAAAAGTCAATGGTTCTTATGTTTAATCCCTTTTTCTCATACCACCTACAATGCCACCCTGCACCCCCTGGAGTTCCAGCACCCCCTGGAGTTGCAGCCACCCCTGGAGTTCTAGCACCCCCAATTGCAAGACACTGGTCTAAATGTTAAACATTCTACCTGTGGATTTGATGTCATATTTGAACTCCCATCACTCTGATAAGTTGTTGCCTTGTGTAATCCTGATACAAACTCAAGGCTGGCGTCTCCACTGTTTCCCTGGCCACTGGCGGGCTGTGATCCTCCATCCATCAGCAGCTCAAGGCAGGCAGTGATAGAATACGGCTCACGTTCTTGGTAGGCCTGCGCGTCCACTTTATTCTGCTTGATGTGGTCAAGCCAATCTTGTATGAGATCCAGGCGAGATTTATCATCAAGAGGACCATGGTAGGCCACGCAGGCGGCGGTCATGAGAGCATCCCCGGGTGCACACACGATATGTCTGCGTGTCTTTTTAAGTTCTGAACGCCACAGGAAATGTTGCATCGACATATTGTCCATAAGGTTATTAGCCCGTACAATCCTGCGCTCAACAGCCTGCAGAATAAAATTATTTTTATTATTGAACAGTAATGCTAAAAAATATTTTGTAACCCTTAGGTTTGTGACATGCCAGAATTAAGTTGGATTCTTTTTCCTAACATAGTATATATAATAAGCTAAAATGTTAAAACTTGAGGTAAAAATTAACAAATACAATAATGAAACTTAATCGGACGCTATCATCACCTGAATCTGTTTCTCAATAGCCTTGGAGACTTTGATAGCTTCCTTGTGTTGGTTGATATATTGTTCCAGGTTAGTTTTGATGTGTTGTGCCTCCACTCGCAGCTGGCCAAGCTGAGCTTGAGCCTGTAAGGCAATCATTATATCAATCATTATATCAATCAAATCTTAAGAAAATAATAACGCTACATACAATTATTATATTTTTCTTCTAAATGTGAAGTCCTCAATGCATATTCTATGGGCAACATGTGATCCTCAATGTATAGACTATGGGCAACATGTGACCCTAAATGTAGTAAAATGAAACTAAGCGATTATTCTATTTGGTAAACAAACTGCAACCATAATTACAATTTTATTCAAATATTTATAATCTGGTATGCTGTCCAAAGTTCTAAAACAAAAACCTTTGTGAATTTGGTTTCTGCATCCATTAAATCCCTCATGCGTGGCCGCATCTTCCGCTGGATGCTGCTGTATGCATAAACAGCATGAATCCATGCACAGATGGATGAGGCTGCGGAGCTCGCTTGGGCCACCACCTCAGGTACAAACAGTGGGTCACTGACAAATTTCTTCAACTCCTTGTAGATATGCTTAGGTATATTGTCCTTGTTGTAGAAAATCAATTCTTGAAAAAAACTTGAGTCAACCATCAAAGATTTAGCAGCTTCCCAGCTTGAAAAAGTGAAAGGTAGAAATGACACTTAAGTATTCAAACTTGTACTTTTAAAAGTCATAAATATATTTATACTACTTACTTATTCTGTTCATTTAAGGGTGAACATTAGTTATTTCATTAAAAAGAAAGTCATTTATTACGTAGAAAAATTCCTTTACAAATTCACTTTAATCCTTTTAGGCCTTTCATTATACTATACACTGTTGTTGTTGTTTTTTATCATTAAGTATTCTTTAAAAAAATCATAACATTTTAAAGTTTGAAACTCATAAACAAGAAGTTTGGAAAATAAACATCAAATCAAAGGTTACCGGAAATTTAATCGAAAGAAATTTCGTCGATAGTAAATTGATTGACGGAAATTTGATTGAACAGAAATTTGGTCGAATCATTTTTTCATTAAAATTTTCGTCTAATTTCTTTTCGAACGCACTATATTATATATATTAAAACAAAATAATGCATTCAAAAAGAAATTTGAAGAAAAATTTTAACGTGTGAACTGCAAAAAAGATTCGACCAAATTTCCGTTCAATCAAATTACCGGCGATCAATTTACAGTAGACAAAATTTCTTTCTATCAAATTTCCGGATATGCAAATCAAATACGAAATTTTTAATAACTGTTCCATTTGACAAACACCAAACAAAATTAACAATGAAATAGCTACAAGAATTGATTTTAAATTTAAACTGATGTGAATTTTAACTTTAACCAAACATTATATATTCTCAAAGTGAATCAAGACCAGATGGACACATATTTTAGCAAACACTTCATTAATAAAATAATGTGGGGTTTTTTGTTGATTTTTTTTACTCAGGATCTAAAAATATTTTTAGTAAATATCTATAAAAGAATACTCTGTTGTTGAAAAATCTTTATAAATTTTTTAAAATGTTGGTTAAATTGTGCTAGGCATTGTGAAAAAATTTGCAATCATTCAATGTGATAACAAATGTGGATTTACAGTTTAATTTTATACTTACTACAACCTGAAGTGACACTGACAAGTTAGAAGTTTTTAAAAAACAATTTTATTAATATGTTAATACCCGGAGTGTATTGTCTATGTAATTTATACATTAATTCCCACATGGTATTTTTGTATATTGTCAATGTACGCTGTGTATTGTCTATGTAATTCATATATTAATACCCGCTGTGTATTATTTATGTGTTCTTTGTCTTTTGCCCGTGAATGACCAAAACTAATTTTATTTTTGAATTGAGAGGTAACTTTGACTAGAGCTGTATTTTGTTTAAAGTGAGAGAGAGAGTTGCCAATTCGTCAGGCTCACTCTCTCATCCTTGCCTATTGTTTCCAAGGACAAGAATTAGTCACGATGACTGGAAATAGACCAACCAGGATGCAGTGGATGGTCAGCAGTGTCTTGTGTATTTCACTGTGCTCTTTATGTGTTCTACATCACAGGAGGGGTTCGGAGTTTTCATTGTTTCAATGTTATACAGCTTATGGGACTCCATCTTGGGGTTTGATTTCAGAGTTTGCCTTCTCTTGGATGTGTTGCCATCGAAGTTTAATGAGTTCCATCCACCTGAGGTGCTGGTGATGTTTTTTGCTTGTCTAGGCATTTTCTGGGGAAGGAACTCTAGACCACTAGCTCAGTCCGACTCAGTTAAGACCGCTCGGCCACCCAGCACCTATGTAATTCATAAACTAATACCAGCCGTGTATTGTCTATGTACCACTTGAAGATTTATTTTGTTTCTAAACAAGGACTTGACAATTTCATCATTACTGAAGTCATTACTTTTTTTTTTTTTTTTTTTTTAATTTTAATTTGTGTTGTTCCAATTTTTTTTCATTTAAAAAAAAAAAAAAAAAAAAAAAACTTAAGCTACTTCCTTCATGCTTATGTTTTTTTAAAAATTTTAATGAATGGAAAATTCAAAGATCTATTTTGAGCTATTTTTAATAAGCCTTCTACAAGCCAGTTTTAGTTGTGCCATAATAATAATGGATGAACTAATTTTTAAGACCATTGCTTAACTGGTCGAATAAAACTAAATTGTAAAAAAGTTTATAAAAAAATATGGTAGTTGTTGCCTATTGACAGATAAGTTTGAATTCCTAGACAGTTTTGCCATGGTGAATAACTTGAAGATATCGCAAAGGTAGCAATAGTTTAAACATTCATGGGTTTCACGTTATTAGTAAAAGCTGACAAGGAATCACCATTTCCATCACGGATCTACATGTCTAAGTCTAAAACAAAGTCATACAACACTTACGTTTGTGGTTTCTCAAATAACAGACAAAGGGCCTTCATGACAAATTTCACAGTCTCTGGTGGAGAGGGATAGCTCCTAAGTTCTTCCACAGCATTAAGGTCAAGGTTATCCAATACTTTAGCAGCTGCTTGATAGATAGGATTCACCTAAACAAAATATGTATTCAATAAAAATAATAATTTATTGATCTTGATTTCTAATGATTCAACATTATTTTAAACTTTTTAAAAGTTATTCTTAGACATAAATCTATGAAAGGGATTGCTATTTAGTGAATGAAAGTGTTTATGATATTATTTTAATCAGTTTAATTTTTTTGGATTCTTACATAAAATTAACCATATTTACTAAACCTAAAGAACATCAGATGTAATTAAAAGATTTCAGAAAAATGGGCAGCCCTTCTTAATGATGTATAGAAATTACTTTACAGGCACAGTAAATTAATAGACCTTTTTATAAGTAAATTTAACACATTAGATGAGACTAAATTCAGCCTGTGATCATTTATACAACCAATACTAAACTATGTTAACCAATTTCAACTGACCTTATCAAACTCTGTTTGTGCAGACTGGCGTAGTGACTCCAGTGGTCCTTGTAACTGGGTAATGGTCTCTTCTTGAACTTTGCATTGCTCAAGAGCCTGTTATGAAGTATGCAGCTGAGTGTTAAGCTTTTATTAATACCAAAATAAAGCAGATTCTTGGAGGTTTAGACTCCATAAATCCTAATGAGCTAATGGGCTTATGCTCAGTACCAAGTAACACTATAGCTTATATTATAGCTTATATTCAGCACCAAGTAACATTATAGCTTATGTTCAGTACCAAGTAACATTATAGCTTATGTTCAGCACCAAGTAACACTATAGCTTATGTTCAGCACCAAGTAACACTATAGCTTATATTCAGCACTAAGTAACATTATAGCTTATGTTCCTTACCAAGTAAGACTATAGCTTATATTCAGTACCAAGTAACATTAAAGCTTATATTCAGTACCAAGTAACACTATAGCTTATATTCAGCACCAAGTAAAGTTATTGGAACATAAAACTTCATTTGTACAAATTAAATTTGTGAGAGTTAGGCGCATGGTGGCAGTTGGTGGATACTGGATACACAATGTAACAAAATAAATATTGAAATCCTCAATAAATTATGATTTGTTCAAGTATAAAATTACAGTACAGTGGGAGACTGTTTTTTAAGCCCAGAGAAAGCCATAAATATGAATACAGATTTCATAAATTGTAACTTTCAGATTCCCCACCCCCCCCCCCCCCAATTTGAAAATCATCAGTTTTACTTTATATTATAGGGTCTCATTTGTCAATAGACTTTGATTAAACCAACTACAATATTGGTGAAGAAAGAGAGATATTTTCTTGTTGAAATAAAGCAAGGAGTTTTCCTACTCACCTTGATGTAGTCTTGTTTGTATGTCTCCACCTGTGACACCAAGTCTGATATCTGACCAGCAGCAGATGTATGCTGGGGCATCAGGCCAGACACCTCTTTCTTAAATTCTGCTATACTGCCAAAGGCTTCATTGATTTTGTCTAGGGCTTGCTCATACTTACTTCCCTTGGCCTGCAATTTAATTAGAACATCTGATATATCACTAATTTATTTAAGAGTTTATTATGCAGAAAACATCATTGGACCAATTCCTGCAAATTTCAACATTTACAATCTGAGTAGAACAGTATTCTGTCTATAACCAAACTCTCAAAACAAATGGAAGAATATGATTTTCATAATTATTCACTGTGTAGTATAGAATAAAAAGATATCCAACAATTTATTTGTTAACTTTCAGTAGTTCAGATATTTGTCTTGGCTTACCTTCTCAGTCTTCACTAGGAAAGCAGTCACAATTTTGAACAGATGGACAAATTCCAAGAAGGTGAGTGGTGTGAAGATTCTAAGGGGATCTTTCTGGTGACAGAACTGATGATCCACAGCAGCTTTGGCTGACAAGTGGATGTAGGCCATGGCATTAGAGGCTGCATCCAGCTGTTCTGCTGAGCAGGAGGGGTTCCATGGAACAACCACCTGATCAAATTATGACAAATAATCAAAACAGATTCTTAATGTTCTCAAACATTTATTTTGATTTGAAGGAAGCGTTGGTCTTTGGGTGAGAGAATAGTTAAAGCCTGATGGTTGGGTGAGAGATTATATTAAGCCTGGTGGTTGGGAATTAGAAAGTAGGTAAAGGCTGATGGTTGGGTGAGAGAGTGTATTAAGCCTACTGGTTGGGAATAAGAGAGTAGGGGTAAAGCCTGATGGTTGGCTGAGAGATTAGATTAAGCCTGGAGGTTGGGTGAGAGAGTATATTAAGCATGGTGGTTGAGAATAAGAGAGTAGATAAAGATTGATGGTTGGGTGAGAGAGTAGGTGAGTCCCAGGACAGAGACTATATGAGTTAGCAGTCATATATTGTTCAAATCTCCACAACCACCTTGGATAAAAAGCTCAGTGTCTTGTGAGGGGTTTGAGAAAATTTAAAGCAAAAGTAGAAAAAGCACACACGAAAACCAGAATGGGGATGAATAACAAAGTAAATTTTACTTGCTGCAAATATATTTACTGGGCCAGGGCCATCTACACAAGTGGTGGGGTGGGGGTGGGAGGAAACAGGTCCTTCCAATTTTGAGTTGGGGGTGGGAGGAAGCAGGTCCTTCCAATTTTGAGTTGGGGGTGGGAGGAAGCAGGTCCTTCCAATTTTGAGTTGGGGGTGGGAGGAAGCAGGTCCTTCCAATTTTGAGTTGGGGGTGGGAGGAAGCAGGTCCTTCCAATTTTGAGTTGGGGGTGGGAGGAACCAGGTCCTTCTAATTTTGAGTTGGGGGTGGGAGGAAGCAGGTCATTCTAATTTTGAGTTGGGGTCTGGGAGGAAGCAGGTCCTTCCAATTTTGAGTTGGGGGTGGGAATAAAATATAAGATACCCCACACACACAGACTCTTGTCGGCCTACCCTTTGAATTTCTCCAGGTAACAAAATTAATATGAGACAGGAAAAAATACAATTACCAGAAATTAGAATTTTAAGAATTAAAAGTAAAAGTAGTGGGGAGACATCTGGCAGAAAATGGTCAACAATTTAATGAAATTAAATTTTGACATTTTATGGGTCATATGATTGATTGATTGATTGAATACTTTTATAGCGGTTGTCTCCATGCTATTTTAGCATGCTCACGGTGCTCTAATGTCCTAAAATTTGTTTAAAGAAAAAAGTCTTTAATTGTTTCTCAAATGACTTTCTATCATTTTCAATTTCCCTCAAAGACTAAGGCAAACTGTTCCATAACTTAGGCTCAATAGCTTCAAAAGAGCGCACTCTGTATGACTTCTTTCTGTGTCCATCCACACTGGGAACCCTCAGTAAGGACTGTGTTGAAGAGTGTAGGTTCTGTAAGGATACATGTTTAGAAATCAGTTTTTGAAGATATTCAGGTGCAGATCCTTCAATACAGCTGTAAACCAGGGATAAAATTCTGTGGTCAATGCGCTAACTCACAGGAAGCCAGTAGAGATCTTTCAGAACTGGGTTGATGTGGTCAGATTTCTTTATATGTGATACAATGCGTGCTGCAGTATTTTTTACCTTCTGGCATCTCTGAATTTGGTTTTGAGGTAAACCCCACATACATCTGTTGCAGTAATCTAATCTTGATTGTATTAGAGTGACTGCTAGGGCATTAGCTGTTCTCTTATTAAGTTGAGGACGCAGCTGACACATGGTGGATAGATGACAGAAACAATCCCTGACTACAGAACTGATATGAGGGATCATTGTAAGTTTACTGTCAATGTAGAAGCCAAGGTCTCTAAAAGTGTTGAACAAGGGGATCTCAGAAGTGCCAACTTTTATTGATGCCATAGCAACCTTCTGAGGATTGGCATCAAAACCACATAAATTTGCCTCTGTCTTATCCTCATTTGATTTAAGTCTGTTTGATGCCATCCATGGTTTCATTACAAGACAGTGGTCCTCAATAGCCTGAATAGCAGCAGCACACTCCAAAGGATCAGGGCGGAAACACTTGTACAGTTATGTGTCATCCGCACATAATTTGTGGGAAATACCATGACTTTCAATAATTCTGCCGAGCTGGCTAGTGTACATGGAGAATAGAATAGCTCCTAAAATTGAGCCCTGTGGCATGCCGCAGGTAACGAAGTGTCCATGGAAGATGCTTGCTTCACTACAATATGCTGAGTCATGTCAGTCAGATAAGAAGTAAACCAGCGAAGCGCAGTTCCAGAGATACCTGGCTCATTCAGAAGTCTTGATAAAGAAGCTCATGGTCAATCACATCAAAAGCAGCACTGAGATCCAACAGGACCAATATTGTCATATCGCCACGGTCAGCACCACAAAGAACACCATTCATGACATGGAGCAGTGCTGTCTCGCAGCTGTGTCCAGGTCAATATGCAGATTGAAACTTATCAAGCAACTTGACTTATTAAGATGCTGCACAAACTGCTGTGATACAACTCTCTCAAGAATTTTAGATACAAAGGGCAGGTTGGAGACCGAGGGGGAAATTCTTGCAGTCATTTGGGTCCAGGCCACTTTTTTAAGCAGAGGCTTAATGACCACTGCCTTGAAGAGATGTGGGATCGTGGCAGACTGAAAACTTCTATTCACAATGTTAACCAGTACAGGAAGCAAGAAGTCCAGACAGTCCAAAACAATCTTGATTGGGATGGGGTCAACAATAGAATATGTAGGTTTAGATGCCATGATGATATGCCTCAAATTTTCATGGGAAACTGGAAATAATTCCACTAGAAGGTAGCCTTCAAATACATTCTCCACTGAAGACAAATCGCAACGTTCACCAAGCTCTTTCTGATTGTTTCAATTTTGTCAGTGAAGAACTTGCTCAGTTTAACAGCAGTTTGCTTGCTTCCCATGTCAGGCAAAACAGGGGGTGCTGATTTCTTCTTGAGAAGGTCATTCACCACAGAGAACGTCTTGTGAGAGTCAGTACCTGCTGCCTTAAGGAGAGACTAAACTTGTGTGCCTGATTCCTTCCGCATACATTTTCCTTGCTTTTCGAAACATTTGTTTGTCCACTTTATGACCACTTCTTCTCCAACGCTTCTCAGCTTGGCTTTCTGGACCGGGAGTGTGAACGAAGGGGAGTCAAATCTGTGACTAACAAACTTATTTGACACTGGGGCATATGTATACGAGAGTCCGATTGTAGAGGAGGATTAGTTGTTTGGTATCTTCAGGTGGTGATGGTGACTTCACTAACTCAGTCCCAGAAAGACTTCCGAAAAGAATTCCTATTCATCTTCTTTAAGTTCCTCACTTGAATTTTCCTCCTCTGAGCAACAGGCCTAGTCGTATTTGTTGTAAACCTCAAAAGGAAATGATCAGACAAGAGAATATCATCCACATTCACAGACTAAACTGCCAATGATATGAAAAGAAGCTGGCAATCCATGTGGTCTATACTATTAGCTACTATCCTTAAATGATCTTTGACCTCATTGAATGTTGTAAAAAAAAGAAGAAGAAAAACCGGTGCAATTTAACTGACCCCTGACTTGGTATCCTGCAGCCATGTTCTTGCCACCTGTGCCAAAGACTTAAAACTCCAGGGCATGTAGATGTCAATGCTGAAGCAGTTTTTGAGAAGCCCTGGGTGCCTCTGTAGCTTGTCATGGAGACCATTCACATTTGTGGAGAAATTGTTGCCTGTTTGCATCAAAAGAAAGTGACATTGATATAAGGCATTTAGAAATATTAACCCATTTTACTCAGCATGTAAGAAGAATTTTTCATTTGTGAAATATATTATTTTATTTATGTAAATAATTACTCAAAACAAACACTGTTACAGTTTTTTTTAAATAATTTAATAAATCTCATAAAAGAACAGGAACGTTTTAAACTGCACTCAGTAGACAAATACATACATAGAACAGTGTAACAGCAGTTACCTACCTTTGTAATTCAGCAACACTATAATGTGCAAATTTTGCCTGACACGCTTGACGAATCTATCAAAGGCTTGCTCTATCTTTTCAACTTTTTTCGTCTGTACACCACCAGGCATCAGATGACCAACTATATCCTGGACCTCAGCTTCAGAGTACAGGCCTGGGGCGGTGCCTGAAAATTTGTATTTGTGATAAGGGCCACTGAACATCAAGTAATGTGAGTAGCATAAACTCTTTTCTCCTGGTTTAAATGCTGCTTAGCAGACCAAACACATTTTTCTCTTGCTAGGCTGTACCGTGGTAAGCAATTAACACATAAAAAAGCAACTTCAGAGACATTTTTTAATGGTCCGTTTATTTTTCTCTATGATCTGTGCAGCTATAAAAGTTTGCATGTAATATATTTATAAGTGGCTTCAGATTAACACATCTAAATTTTTTTTTAAAGCTGATGAGCTTGTTAAAACTACTTCATTAAAATAATAATGAGTTGTTCAATCATTGTACTAACTGCTATGCCTTCAATATTTGAAATTACCTTCTGCCATAACTGCACTGACATCGTACAAGCCTTCCTCTCCTAGATCTTCATGCACTAGCAACACTGTGGGCTTGCCTGTGATACCTGCGTGATGGCAACTCAGTTTGATATGTTTCCTCAGGACGTTCAGGTTATGGGCCGGCAAAGACTGAGCCTTGGCTTCAAATAACTTACAGTGCGCCACATAAGCCGCCAGTCGAGTTAAGGTTGCTCTGCCAGTGCAGTAGCTCATTCCTAGCAGAAGGGCATGGCCTTTTGGGTGGGCCTTTTATAAGGTAAAGAAACATTTTCTCGATAAATTTGCTAATTTAAAACGCAAACATTTTATAAGACTGATATGAAACTTTATAAATCAATATTAAACATGTGCCGGCTATTTGCAGACAATAATTGACAGTATTGACCCTACAGATTGTGGACATGTTATGTCACTCATGCTAATGCAAGAATCAGCCAATATTTATTATTATCATTATTAGGTGGTTTTATATAGCGCAGTACCCCAGCCTAGGGCTAGGCTCCCTTTAGTACCCCAGCATAGGGCTAGGCTCACTTTAGTACCCCAGCCTAGGGCTAGGCTCACTTTAGTACCCCAGCCTAGGGCTAGGCTCACTTTAGTACCCCAGCCTAGGGCTAGGCTCACTTTAGTACCCCAGCCTAGGGCTAGGCTCACTTTAGTGTACCCCAGCCTAAGGCTGGTCTCACTTTAGGGCAAGGCTCACTGTGCTTTACATAAAAATTAGCAATTACAGAAACGTATACATTTAAAAACAACAATTGATGAAAAACTTGACCTCTCCCACCCAAGTACTATCTACCCCTGTCTAGCCATGGACAGCACCCAGCAGCATCGAGCATTGTTTATCAGTCAGAGAGGGGTAAGAATGAGTTGGTATAGTACAGTTTGAAGAGATGGGTCTTAAGGGCAGTTTTGAAGGCTGCAATGGTAGTTATATTGTGGATGTGTAATGGGAGAGAATTCCATTGTTTTGGGGCACAGAAAGATAAAGATCGTTCACCATATGTTTTAATGTGTGTTCTGGGAACAGAAAGGATAAGTGTGTCTGCTGAGGAATGAAGCTTTTGAAGGTGTGGATAGACAGTAAGAAGTTCAGAAAGATAGGAAGGGCAGGAACCAGAGAAAAAGTTGTGACGGACAACAGACAGCTTAGACAATAGACAGCTTGTAATCAATGTGTGCCTGTAAAGGGAGCCAATGAAGTGAGTGAAGTAATTGAGTTATGTGATCATGTTTCTTTGCCTTTAGAACTAACAAAGCAGCTGAGTTTTGAACTTTCTGCAGTTTTTCTATGAAATGTTTTGGTGAACCTTGTATGATGAGTAACTGGATATTTAAGGAACAGTTGTTTATTCTTTTAGATGTTTGTTTATGGATCATGTATTAACAATATAAATCAAACAGATTATAATTTCTGTTCTCAACCCAATGTAGTCCACATAAAACATGACAAAATTCTATAGTATATAACTTACAAGCACTCGACTAAGTCTGGCTGCATGATGAACAGCCTCTTTAAAAAACACCAGGTCAATTCTTTGAGAGGTGCCCTTATTGTATTTAGTGAGACAACTCTGCAAGGCTTCCGACAGTTTCTCTTCATTGTGTTGTGTGTAGCCTGAAAACAGAGTACATATTTCAAACAAAAGACAACTTCTTTTTAATCACTAAAAATGCTTGCTATTTCCTTCCATTGCATCTTTTCCATAACTTTTGTCAATTCTTAAAACAATATTACAGCAACATACCTCTCTCTGCTGGAAGTCCAAGAGCCTCTGTGTGACATCCCATGTAAAACTTGCAGAAGATAATGTCAGTTAATTTCTCCCTTGAACCTTTAATCTGTAAAGGAAAAGTGTTATTAAAATTGTTAAAATACAAAAATTAAACTAAGATTAAAAATGACAGCTTAATCTTAAAATAATACAAAAATATCTCTCCGTATAAACTTTCAAGTGAGTTACAAAATAAAAATTTAAAAAATCCCTTTCACCTCCTCAATTGATAGTAAAGGCCCACAAAAAGCAACATGTTTTTTATCTGCAATGAGTCCAGCTTTAAAAGTGACCCCCCTTTTCACTGCTGCAGAGTCTTGACTTTTGCCACCAGGTGTCTCTCCACTTGCTAAAAGGAAATTGAAGAAGAATTTAAGCATTCAATTGATTTTATTAAACCTAAACAAGATACTAGAAAAGACCAAACAAAGTAAATAACTGTTACTGCCCCTAACAAAACACAAAAACAAAATATTTGAATTTATGAATAAAGAATAATAATAACTTATAATGCTGATAAAACAAAAACCTAGGACAGACATAGATCATATTCAGATGATGTGCTTTCTTCAAAGTCAAAAGAGGAAATTCTACTAAAAATGTAAACTAATATTAACACATCGCTACTAATATCATTTACCTGTGCTAATATGGCTTTGAATGGAAATCTTCTTAAGGTTGTTGTTGTTGGGACTCTCTTGAGAGTGAAGATTCAAGCCTATTGGAGATGATTTAAAGGTCTCTGATGAAAAAGCAATAAGCCAACTGTTACCAGTATCAGTGTAGTCACACAGGGCAACATTTAAATATATTGATATTTCAGCCTGGCTTCCCTAATGGGTCTATTCCAAACCTCAAACTGGTTGGACCATTGTAATTACGCCTAGTCATTGCCTTCAACCAATAAAGAAAAAAATAACTCCAGGGATTTCATTTTATTTTTTCCCTCTTGTTAACATGTGCACCTTTAGCCACAATTCAACCTGGGCAATAACAAGGACAACATTTGTTGTAAAAATTATATTGTATTTGTATGTCATGTTATCAAGAATAGGTCATCTTGAATGAATACGATTCTAACTATGGAGAATATATATTGACAGTCTGCAATAATATAAAAATGTACCCTAAACAATGTATAAGACATAAAAGACGTGATTTCTTTCAGGCTAACCTGATAAACTACCATAAGCTTCAGAGGCAGCAGATGTAGACAACTCAGAATTTGAGTCAGAATCTGATTCATCAGATTCCTCAGAGTCATTTCCCCTATCATTGGAAATTTGATGTGAATCACTATTTTCTTCATCAGTATAGTCTGCAAACAAGGGTTTTTGAAATTGTTCATGAAACACCTTCAATTAACAATATTAAAATAACTTATAAATGATATGGTTAAAGTAATAAGTGTTATAACTTAATTTGAATGGTAAATGATACAAAAATTACATAACTGTTTTAAATTAAAAATACTGTCAAAAATTGTTTATAGTTCAAGAATATTAAAATAAATAATTATACCTAAATAATTGTTCATATCTTTTTATGCAGGCATAATAATTTATTAGGATATCAAAATTTAATATAGTATTCCCCCCTGCAGGCTTACCATTTTCTGTATTTCCTTCATGAGAAATCTCATTTGTACTACTCTCACTGCCATCTTGACCCCCAGTGACATTTTCTTTTAATTCTCTTGAAGAAGTAGATCTGGAGCTGTGCACAGATAAGTAAGAGATTTATACTATGATACATTTTTGTATTTAGTGAACCTTAATGGAGGTCCTTTGGGGTAAAGGGGATGATAAGAATGTTTATCGATTGATTAAAAGTGTCCAAAAAAATTTAATTCTTCTCTCAAATAATCATATTCTTGGAAGCAAAATGCACTTAAAAAATATTTATGTTACAAATTATTCATAAATTTACTCAATATCACGTGGACAAAATAAGCCCAATGAGATAGTAAGGAAGTTGTGTTCACTAGATCAGAATAACTTTTAAATTTCAAAATATTTCTATCAAATAAATTAGTTATTAGTTTTATTCATATAATGGGACAGCAGATGGGTTCAACACAGCAGATGAACCAAGCCTGAGGAGGCTTGATGTGTCACTTCAGAGAGCAATGCAGTCTAAGAACGTTGCTCTCCTTATAGGGGGAGATTTCAACTTTCCTGGTTGGAACTGGCAGATTCCTGCTTTGAAGCCCAAGTCCCCATACCCGGTCCTACACTCTGAATTCATGGAGATAATTAACAACCATGGTCTGGAACAGATGGTTAAAGAACCCACGAGAGGGGAAAACACTCTCGACCTACTCCTCACTAACAGTCCACATCTCATCCCAAGAGTAGAAGTCATCCCCGGAATATCAGACCACTGCATACCGTACTGCGAATTTCAAGTCAGCGTGCTAAAAAAGAAACAGGCTGTGCGAGAAATCCCCATTTATTCAAAGGCAGACTGGGATAGCCTGAGAATTGCAATGACTGAGCTGAGTTCAAACATGCATGAGATTCAGGGTAATGCGACAACAGAAGAGCTGTTGATGAAATTCAAGACAACAATCACTGATGCAGTGATGAAATTCATACCACACAAGACCTCAAAACCTAAGACAAATCAACCATGGGTTACGGCTGAAATCCAAAGGCTCATACACAGGAGAGACCGCCAGTACAAACGTATGAAGAAGAATGGGTCGGTCGAACTAAAAGCCGAAGTACTGAGGCTCCGAAGAACCATCCAACGCTTACTGCGCAGATCCTACTGGAACTACCTGAACGGCATCTTCTCAGAGGAAGATACTACCGCCAAGAACAAGCGGTTCTGGAGCTATGTCAAACATCAAAGGTCAACAAACATCGGGGTTTCCCCCCTGAGATGGGAAGGCAAGTTGACATACTCAATCAACAGTTCCAGTCGGTGTTTGGGGATGGTAGAGAGTACTCAGAAGTTGAGTTCCTGCTGAAGACCAAGATGATGAGCACAGCCTATCCCACCATGGAAGATATCAAGATCTCAGAGAAGGGTGTGCTGGAACTTCTTAAAAGCATTAACCCCTACAAGGCATGTGGTCCTGACAACATCAAGCCACGAGTGCTAAAAGAATTGGCCAAAGAAATCGCTCCTGCATTAACAATCCTCTTCCAATCGTCGCTATTCACAGGCAAAGTTCCAACTGACTGGAGAACAGCGTATGTCACTCCAATCTACAAAAAAGGAGAGCATTACGACCCAGCCAATTACCGCCCTGTATCCCTCACTAGCGTAGTATGTAAACTATTGGAACACATAATCGTAAGCGCGGTCATGAATCACCTGGAAAGAAATAATATACTCAAT